ATGAATAATGTGCCTTTGCCATATCAACCAAAGCCACCGCCACGCAAGAACGAGACCACGTTGGAGAGAGGTCGACGATCTCGTATGATAATTAGCCGTAGAAAACGTAGACAGACAATTGCCTTAGACACGTTTATACACAATGCAGGCGGCACGGACTCCATGCAAATTGTTGACTGCTCTTCGCTTCGTCAAATCTAAGGTTTGTTCCAAGTCGCAGCATTATTAATATATGTTACTTTAGCTATGTACAAAAATAAGTATAACTTTATCAGAGATATCACTTTATTGACCAAAAGTGCATTACATGTGTATCCAAAGGATAAATATAACCCAGTATATCGACTGGTGTGCCAGGAAATCCATAAGTAGTATAACAAATATAACCGAATGCCATTCCAACCAACTAACATCAAAAATCAGCTCAGCAGGTCTCTGAAAGTAGCTTAATTTAGATAGATAATAGTTGAACTAATTTTACGCATCCTTGGCACATCGAAACCCTAAATTGCTGGCCGAGCTGTCTTCGGTATTTTGGGAACGCGCTGCGCAACGATAGCGATAGCAATAGGACTTGTGGCACAAATAGGAGCCGCCCTTTTTGACGCGATTTGGGCTCTCGCTGGTGTCGCCGGCCTGCCACAGATCCGCAGTCCATTCCCAGACGTTGCCCACCATGTTGTACAGGTCGTAGACGTTCTGACGAAACTCATCTACTGGACATGTGTATAGATAGCCATCCTGCGCGGTGTTGCCATCGGGAAACTCGCCCTGCCATATGTTCAGCCAGTGCTTATCCTGGGGCATCAGCTTGTTGCCCCAAGGGAATAGCTTGCGCTGCTTGCCGCCCCGACAGGCCACCTCCCATTCCGCTTCGCTGGGCAATCGTTTGCCCGCCCACGCACAATAGGCCACAGCATCGCGCCAGGAAACGTGCACAACCGGATGCTGCTCCAGACCTGAAAAGCAATGAAGATGCAGTCATAGCATGTTGTCAGATGGTGAAAAACTTACCTTGCAAATTGCTAGAGATGCCGTTCGGCTTACGCCAGCTAACGCCGCTGACCTTGTACCACCAAAGCGCATTGGCCACACGGTAATCCTCCAGCTCCGCCTGCTGTGCTGGCGACAACATTGTCTTGAACAGAAAACTATCGCCAAAGCGTTCCGCTTCAGTCGTATAGTTTGTGGCATCAACGAATTTTGCAAAATTTGCATTGGATACCTCGAATTTGTCCACGTAGAAGTCTTTGATCTTTACCACACGCTCTGGAGCCTCTCGATCCGCCTCAAAATGCGGCTCATCTGTGCCAATATTCACACTGCCGCCAGGTATAAGGGACATGCCCGCAATCTCCGGCTCAGCCTCCGGATAGTAGTCGCGATAATGTTTATTTTTATTGCGCCCCTGCTGCTGGCACACCTGTTGCGCCGGCTGCTCCACGGATTTAGTTTGGGTGGCATCGGAGGCATCCCGCTCCAGCTTGTTGCAGCCGCAGTCGCCGTTGGCGTTGTGGCAAAGGAACCCCAACAAAAGAATTGCGGTCTTCAATTGATTCATTTTTCTATTCTCGTAGCCGCAGTTGCGCAGCTGAGCGCCAGGGCTGAAATCTACTGATGGTATATTCGATAACCGTTCGATAACAATTCTCCCGCCAATTCTAGACATATTTTTATTGAATTCAAAATTGAAATGCCGAATTAATCTGATCAATTGGCATTCAAACAAATTAAAAATAGATGGCTTAAAAGAAGTTGTTAAACAAAAACCTATTCGTTTTCCATTTTTGATGATTTTTTGGCATATCTCCGCCAAATAATGTCCGATTTTGTTATTTTATACCATTTTCGACTCGTAACGATCAGTACTATCAATTGGCATCAAGAAACTGAAAATCTAAATTTTCACCCAAATCGACCAAAAAGCAAGGGGTTTCATCACTTTTTTTGTCAAAATCGGGGTCGGTTCGAAAATCAAAACTTTGTTGATGTTATTTTTTTAATATCTCGTGTAAATTCTGTGAGATTTTGAAGTTTTATATCATTTTGAATTTGCACGGATCCCTATTATCAATTAGCATTCAAAGAAATTCAATATCGATGGGTAAAAAAAAATAATTGACCAAAAACCGATTCGTTTTCAAAATCAACGTTTTCTGATGATTTAAAAACGACATATCATTGCGCGTTGTTATGTCGTTTCAAAACGAAATTTCCTCGCGGAGATATGTCGCTTCAAAACGACATATCTCCCCGCGGAGATATGTCGTTTCAAAACGAAATTATCTCGCGGAGATATGTCGTTTCAAAACGACATATCTCCCCGCGGAGCTATGTCGCTTCAAAACGACAGATCTCCCCGCGGAGATATGTCGTTTCAAAACGAAATTTCTTCGCGGAGATATGTCGTTTCAGAACGACATATCTCCGCGAGGAGATTATTTCAGGATCGGACTTAAAATAAGCCAGATATAGTTATTTTAAGTTTAAATAGGCTTAAATTATGATTTAAGCTCCGTTGTATAATTTTACGAAAAATAATTAAGAAAATTATCATAAAAAATAACAATTTTATAAATTGAAACATAAATAAAGCGATAAAAGCGAAATTCCTGTTTTTTTATTTAAAAATTCAAAAATCAGCGGCCTTTAGAAACATATTGCATACCCGTAGGGGGCGTCTGTTGGCAACCGCTGGCTTCCGAGATTTTTCATAAAATCTGCCAAAATACCAGGCGAACAGAAATGACCAGATATGACGTTCTAAAACGACATAACTCCGCGGGGAGATATGACGCTCTAAAACGACATAACTCCGCGGGGAGATATGACGCTCTAAAACGACATAACTCCGCGCGAAGATATGACGTTCTAAAACGACATAACTCCGCGGGGAGATATGACGCTTTAAAACGACATAACTCCGCGCGAAGATATGACGTTCTAAAACGACATAACTCCGCGGGGAGATATGACGCTTTAAAACGACATAACTCCGCGGGGAGATATGACGCTCTAAAACGACATAACTCCGCGCGGAGATATGACGTTCTAAAACGACATAACTCCGCGGGAAATATGACGCTTTAAAACGACATAACTCCGCGCGGAGATATGACGCTCTAAAACGACATAACTCCGCGGGGAGATATGACGCTTTAAAACGACATAGCTCCGCGCGGAGATATGACGCTCTAAAACGACATAACTCCGCGGGGAGATATGACGCTTTAAAACGACATAACTCCGCGGGGAGCCAAAATACCAGGCGAACAGAGATGCCCAGAAGGTCGATGCACAATATTTTTGCGGCCGAAAAAAATCATTGCATACCCTCACGGGGCGCCCTGGTCGGCAGCTACTCCCCAAATTTGCCCTAAAATTCCGCTCAAATACCAGGCGAACAGAAATGCCCAGAAGGTCGCCGAGTGGTTTGTATAAAAATTTTCATTGCATAGCATTACGGGGCAGAAATGTAACTCAATTAAAATGAGTGCTGTTAATTAGCAGAATATGTAAAATGAGTGCTGTAAGCCGCCTGTTAAATAACAGCTGCAGCTGCAGCTAATGTAAAAGGGCTCCTGAAAGAAAAAGCATACATGTTTTTGGACCATTTCAATGCACATATTGCAGGGATCTGATCCTTTAGGTTCCCAAGGACTATATCGATGGTATGGTATAACCAAGGATATGCTAGTCAACTAGAAACCATTCAAGGGGCCGGGGCTGCTGTAAAAGAAAAGCATACATATTTTTGAACCCTGTTCCTACGCATTTTGCAAGAACTAGGTCCTTTAGGTTCGGTAGGACTGCATCCATGATATGGAATAACCAAGGATATATAGGTCAACTAGGTACCATGAACACGGACCATTTGCTGACCAAATGTTGTCCATTGGCGTGGAGGATTAGCCTGAAAAAAAAGCTTAATTAGATCGTTTTAATTACGTCAGACTTCAGAAAGACATACCGTTATTTGATTTGAGAATTCACGCAGATTGGCAGCAAAGTTCATGTAACCATATAAGCCATTTTGGTTTAAGGTATAATATCATATTTATGTAATAACCAAGGTCATTCATTCTTAACGCTCTTGAATGTTTTCCTGTCCTTGGCAGATTGAGCTGCAAAAAACCAAATATGAATTTACTTTGTAAGCCTTTAATATCCTTTAAATTAAGTCAGTCTTCGGAAGTACATACCTCTTCAAAATAGACAGAGCACTAAGAAAGTTCGATTTCAGAACCGACAAGAATCAAGCAAGTATTTTGATGTTACCATATTTTCCTATCTGGTCCAACCGCAGAAGGCGATTTATTTACATGACAATTGATATTCCCGCTACGGACGATATTAGTCCGAGAATTTTCACTTATTATATTTTCAAAGAACTCTCTCTCTCTCTCTCTCTCTCTCTCTCTCCCTCTTGTCGACTGCTGGCCAAAGTCGGCGCACAGCAAACTGAGCTAGCGATCAAAGGAAGATAACGCACAAGCAAGCATAAGTGAATGAATATTACAATAAATTATACCATTAATAATGTTCACTTCTAATATTTTCAAACAGCTTTACTCGACTGCTGGCTTTTAACTCAATCAAAATGATGTTGCGCAGACGCAAACACACAACCAAATATATGCAGAGAGAATATTTCGATATTTATAACAGGCTCAATAGACCAGCGGCCGCAGCACAACTTGCCATATTGCTCAATGAGGTCGCACCTGCTGCTCAGTAAGATGAGCACTTGAGAACATCAATTGGACCAATCAGCGATCAGATCATCAGCGCCAAAAACAGTCGTGAGCGCGCAGAAAAACCATGACAGCGAACACACACACGAACTGCTGACTTAGCTTAGCTCAGGCTTTGGCTCATCTCTGCGCATACACGTGTTTGTGTGGGTGTGTGCTATGCAATGTGTCACTCGAATTCTGGTCGCTTGCTTATTTTCTGTGCGCCGGTCCGAAAAAGTCACTCACAATTTAACACACTGTTCGTTTGACCCCGGTACTCAATATGAATATGGTTTTATTAGGAGCTGCTGACCCGGGCGAGTCTGAAAGGATATAATATATATTTTAGATGCTTTCTTAGCAATTGGATTAAACTAAATTTTACTCCCGCTATCAAACTGCTATCAATTGGCAATTGAGAAACGGGGTCGGTTTGCAAGTAAAAAACATTATTTGTAGTACGGTGGAGATAGTTTGTGTGAAATTCTGTCGTTATCCCATTCGAATTAAGTTATAAGAACTTGATGTCCTCAAGTCAATTCAATCTTACAACACAAATAAGTTATTAATTAAACAAATATTGCTTACAACTTACAGCATTATCAACTATTTAGTATTACCAACTATGTGTTATGAAATTTTTTTAACTGCTGCATGAATCCGGCGTTTGGCTGTATGCATGGCCGCCACGACTTAACCAGATTGTAGGCCTCCTCGAAGGACATGTCACGTCGCTGCATCAGATAACCGATGACAACTGCTGCGGATCGCGATACGCCCGCATTGCAGTGGACCAGCACACATCCCTTTACGGCGTACGCCTCCTCTATGAAGTTAATGGCAACGGGCAGCACATATTGCAGTATATTCGTTTCTGGCAGATCCAGGCATGGCAAATGCTTGCACTTAACCGTTGGCGGCAGCTCAACGTTGGGCGTTTCAATGCCAACGCTTAATATGTGCGTTAATTTATACTTTGAGATGTTTTCCGGAGTAACGGCGTCCTGGGAGCCTAAATAAAGGAATTCGCTCAAAATGCATGCTGGCACGGCATCGGGTTTGGTATCCACAACGAATCCGTATTGGCGTGCTTCCAGCTGTTCTGGACTGCTGTCCTCTCCGGTTGAGGATCTGCGCCGTTCAATGTAACGGGCGCCGGTGGGTGTGGTCACAATCGTAGTGGTGGGCCTTAGATTGGCCAGACGTTTCTGCAGCTCATACAGCAATATCATGGTTTCTACTGGTTTAAGGACTAGTCTCGTCTGGAAGCTCGAAAGCCGTATCGTTGTAGTGTACACGACAAAGGTAAAGACCAGATGCGGGCGCAACCAGTATACGAGGTTCCCAGGTGTGTTTGGAAGGAATCGTTAGCATTTCATAGATGCAGCGTTCGTCTATGCGGCCATTTGCCAGCGCCAGAAGCGTGCCCACAATGCGTCGAACCTGCTTGTACAGAAACGACTTGGCCTTGATCTCTATGTCCCAATAGTCGTAAATTTGTGATGCCAACGTTGCGTTTGGGCCCAGTGCAAGGCTTTGTCCAGCACGTATATTAATCTCATCGATTTTGCGCACTGTGAACATGGGATGGTCGCGACTGGGACTCTTCTGTCGACTGACGCTCATAAAGCTGCGAAAGTCGTGGACGCCAAGGAACATGCGCGCCGCATTCTTCAGCCGTTCTATATCGAAATTATTGTTCCTGCAAAAGTCGAAATATGAGTTATTGTGAGCACACAATTGTCTAATAAAAAGAGTTTCTTACTGCAGAAAGTAACACCTGTCTATCTCCTCAACGGGCACAAAAGATTCGTAGCCTTTGTTCCTTAAACTATTGATGGTATTCGACTGCGTCACATTCTTGGCCACTGCCACGCGATATAAATAGGTGCGTCCGATGGCGTGATAGCGGCAATGAAACGTGTCTGGCACGCGCTGGGTACTTAGCACGCGTATTGGCAGGTTCTGCTTGTCCAGGGTTCGATTGAGTACACCTGTCAACGTGGTCGTATCGTAGAATTTATTATCGCTGCGTTCCAAATCGACGTGAACTGTCGAGTGCAGGGCGTGCACGCCGGCATCTGTGCTGGAAAATTGAACACAATTATGGCTGCTATTTATTAAACCTGTATATATATTTGAAGTGCCTACCGACTGGACAGCACGGTTTGGATTTCGTTTTTAGGACGAAAAACGCGCAATGCCAACTCCAAGCAGCCCTGAACTGAATTCGTATCTAGACGCGCTTCCTCCAACTTGTTTACGGTCTTCTGTATGCCACTAAAAGTACATTTTAATTGCATAAATTGTGTTTTTTTCTCATGTTGATTCGCTTACCGAAAATTCGTGCCAATGTAGGCAATGTTGAGTAAATACCTACGCATTATACACCTACACCCCACTCGGCGCACCAATCAAAAAGGCGGAAAACATATGTTTTGTTATCGATTAATCGTTTCGTGCACACAACCAGCACAGACCATATGTTCTCCAACAGTAGTGTGCTTAGCGATAGTTCGATAGGCAGCAGTTACTCAGAATGTTGTCAAAAAAAAAAAAACAAATCGACTAGTCGATTCCTCACTAAACATTCACCATCGTATTTGAACATATTGTAAATATCGATACATGTCTTGTCAAAGTTTTGTAACCTGAATTAAAGCGAAAAAAGGGGCAGACGTGCAAACAATTAGGGCGACCGGTTAATATTTTTACACTCGCACAGCACAATTGTTAAATTTTTCCATCAGGATCAGGTGAACGGTTGCATAACGAAACATGGCCAATTTCACTGATTACACCAGAAATGAGGAGACCGAGGTCAATAGCTGGATTCGTTTCGGCTTGCGCCTTGGCGTTAGCGCTGCACTGCATCCATTTGAATACTCAAAGGCGCTGATACAGATTGGATACGAGCCGATTGCCGCGAGACCCGGCAAGTCAATGCTAGGCAGACCAATTATGGTCCTGCCAAACATTTTCCAGTACGGTAAGTACACCGCATAGCACACACATTTCCGGCATTAAAATCGCACTTCGATCTCTGTCATACAGCTGGTCATATCAAAAGAATCGATGGCTTCTATGGTTGTTATCGTGGTCTGGCACCCAAATTAGCTGGTGCTGTTCTGAGCATGGTTGTGAGTGAGCGCGTTGCCGAAAAGCTGGACCTTGCTCAGAGGGAGGAAAAGGACGAGTCGGAGCTGACCGAGGAGGAGAAGTGAGCTGTCCACCATTGGACATCCCAAGTGTTAAACTTATCCATTTTTTTTCTGCCCGCCAGCTATGTGCAGTTCAAGTACAATCTGAAGCGCGACATTGTGTTGACGGTTAGCGGAATTGTTGTTTCGCATCCTTTCCATGTGATCTCGTTGCGGATGATGGCACAGTTTGTGGGTCGCGAGACGTTTTATAACTCCATTTTGGGCTCCATTGCCGAGATTTGGAAAACCGAAGGCATACGCGGTTTCTTTTCCGGCCTGATCCCCAAGCTGCTGTGCGACGTGGCCTGCCTTGTGCTATCGAGCTCCACTGTTTTCATACTCAACAAATACTTCATCAAGGACAAAGTGGCCAGGCAATATAATGCCGGATTTACCCAGTTTATGTTCTCCAGTCTGCTATATCCACTGCAAGTGGTTTCTACATGCTCCGCAATCAGCGGTTCGCGTCTGATGGCCGGCCAGCCGCCAATAATGCCAGAATACAGCAATTGGGTAGACTGTTGGAACGACTTGCAGTCGCGCAGAGAACTTAAGCGTGGCAGCTCCCTCTTCTGGCGGTAACTAAACTTATCTATTTCTATTTAATATGAAATCTGTGCTAACGTATATCTCAATTCTTTTAGCTCGCAAGTGCTGCAGGCGCCAATAATTGCAACCTCTGCCTTCGCCCCACTGCCCAAGCTGTCCCGCTACCAATAGATGACCTGTTTATGAAGACGCGATTCGGCAACCACCACAACGGGAATAGCCGGAACGACATCCACCGAGAGAGACGCGTCTGCCTGCATTTTTATACAGCTCGTCCAGGGCCGCCCTAAGACAACTGCATTTCTTTTCCCCGTTGCGATTATTATGCATAATAGTAAATCTCTATGTTAAAGTGGTCGCTTAAATTATGATTATCGAGTAACAAACAATTATTGCGAACGCATTGTATAATTTTATAACTTAATTTCCTTGTTGGCATCGAATGCCATTCCAAAGAATCACATTTACGATGAGACTTTCAATTTATTTTAAATAGCCAGCCACTAGTTTCTTGTTACTATTTTAACCGAGAACTATTTTTAAAATTAAAAACGTTTTGCGCAAAAGAACCGCTGTTTTAGGCCAGTTTATGTTTACGAAAATCCTGAAAATACTTCGATAGTCGGGATCTGTACGAATCCATAAAGCTATATCAGTCCCAAATACGACTTTATTTGCCCGATATAAATCTGTATGGATACAATGAATCACAAAAATTACTCTTGCCTTGTCTACAGCGATTCCTCGACAAACAAATCAGTCGCATCCGACGGAATCATTAAGCCACAAGTCGTATGGCAACCATACCTGATCCAAAATGCTGCTGATAAGCCAGGCGAACATAAATGAGCAGCAGGTAGCCTCAAATGCTACCTAGCACCAAAGCAAATTCCAAGTGCTGCCCAGCCCTACTAATGTTTGCTGGTGCTACGCGGCGCCAATAATCGGTGGGCAGCACTCGCAACAATTACTTTGCGCGCACAAAAGTATGCCACCGTTTTTATTTATTTTAAATGCAGCTACCTATTGCCTTTTTATGTTCGCCTGGTATTTCAGCAGTTTTTGTGATCGAAACGACATGTGTTGTTTTTGATGATGATTCGGCACAACAGACGCCCTGACGACACAAAAGATGACGTAAATTTCTTTAAAAAGTTCTACTTCGCATTGAATTGTGATAAAATTCACATTGGGCAGCACTGGCGCTGGGCAGCACTTGGTACAATTCAAATTATTGAAAATGCCGCCTTCGACTGCCGCTTTCTGTTCGCCTGGTGCATTAGCAGTGTCTGGCGTCCGATGTGGCATAACAGCCGCCGCAACTGTATTGGGAACAGCCAATCGAAAAGACTATCGTTTAATGTTGAGCGTTTGACTGTTACAAATTTTTAAACTTAAATCTTTATAGTTAACATTTTTCTAAATATAATTAAGAAAAACATATTTTGCCAGGCGAACATAAATATGCTCAATTTGAATATGCGAACAGAGTACAATTAGCGTATGCACAGCCTATGCGAGACTCCTTGGCGAAGTGAATTTGAATATGAGATTGAATTAATTAAAAATAAATCGCTTTCCGCGATGTTTTTTCTTTCAATAAAACCAGTATTCGTACTTAGCCGGCATCTGAAGAGACGTCGTTGAGCCTCATTATGCAATTTCAATTAAAATATGGGCACAGAGCCTGCCTTGATAACGATATTTTTGCAACATGGTTCAATGTACGAGGAGGGAGTGGTAGGTGTGAGGGGGGAGTTGGGAAGTGGGAGGTAGGCGTGGGGTCTGGTTTACTTTGCCTTTGGGCAGTGGCCAAACAGGAGCATAGTTGTTGTTGCTGTCGTTGTTGTTGTCGCCTGACATTGGCATTGGTCGTGGACGGCATAAGTTATGCTGTGGGGAACTGGTTGGGAATTGGAAACTTTTGCAGCTGGCCCGCATTGTTGAATGCACTTGACGCTGTTTAGTCATGGCAAATTTCATGTAGCTCTCAACAAATGTGTCCAAATTGAGATTAAGCGACAATTTCAATCAAAACAAGGCGGCGGACAGCAACGAAACAACAACAACAACAACAACAACCTGCCCACAGCCAGCCAAACAACAATGCAAGTCAGACAACAACAGCAAACAAAAAATGTCAAAAAAATGACAACCGACTACACAATACTCTGTTCAGAGTGTGTTAGGAGAGTCGCACAGGGTCTACATCTAAAAACGATTACAGATGATGAACAACAATATATATATATTAGAATATTATACACGCTAAACAAGCCCTTTGATAAAAGTAAATGTAAGTTATATAAATAGGTTACACAATCACAAAATTAACTTGGCTCTGAGTCAAATGTTTGTATACATTTTCTTATATTAAGAAAGATATCGCGGCTCATTGAATGCTGCCACAAATATGTAAGTACTTAATCTTTATTCATGGCAGATACTCGCTTATCAAAAATCTGTCCAGTTCGTAAGCAATATAATATTTAGACAATATATG